ACGTCCGGACGGATGGACCACGATTTTCCTTCCTTTTTCTTTCCTTTCTTTTTCCTTTTTTTCCCCAAAGCGAACGCGAGAAAGTTGCGCCGAGCGATCGAGCGAGAGGAATTAAAATAATTTTTCTTTCCCTTCCTTCTCTTTTTCCCCCCTCCCCTCGAAACGAGTTCGATCTCCCTTCACCTTCCTCGGCCGAAAATTCTTCGCGTGTCTCTTCTAGCGCTCGAGTAGATCGATCAACAAACCGATTCGAATAAGATCGTTTAGAAAGTGGGGGAGTGGCGTGCGGGAAGGGCGAGTGGGTTTTTCGGTTCGAGGGCAGATTTATCGATTATTCCCGGTCCAGTGGGGATCCCCGATTTCGTCGAACGTGCCACGGCTAACAAACCCGAGACGCCGATGTGTACACCTCGCTAAATTTACCGACATCCCGATGATAACATCCTCTCCTCCACTCGATCCAGTCCAGAGAAGTTTCGAAAAAGATGTTTTCGAGTCGTCGTATCCACCACGATCCTTGATTCTAATTTGTTCAAAATCGAAATTCAACCCTCCTCCCTTCCCCTCCGCGCCCATGTTTCACCGATGTTGGAAAAAAAAAGGGAAGAACGGCGAAACGGCGAGGGAGGGAGGGAGGAAGGGTCGATCAGCGATTCCATTTGCCGGTACAAATCCAGCGGAACGAGGAATACATTAACCGCGAGTACAACCACCGCGCAGTTGGCGAGCGAGAAAAAAGGAGAGGAGGGGGAGAGGAGAGAAGAGGAAGGAGCAAAAGGGCGGAAGGAAGAAGGAGAGAGGAGAAAGCAAATCTTTTTCCATTAACATCATTTACCGTACTGCGAACCACGCGGCTGGTCGCGTACGTGATACGTGTAGAGTGGCGCGCGCGCGCAAACACCGTGATCGGCGCACCCTTCGCCCCTCGTGCCTGCTACACCCGTATTACGGTCGTCGGGGGTAAACCATCCTGGCCTCTAGGAGGCGAGCGGCGGGAGCCCGCAGGGGTACGCCACGACAACCCCCGTAGCAACCCCTGAAAATCAACCCAACTCCACTCCCCCCCTCATGCTCCTTTTCGATGCTCCCCTTCCCTCTTCCCCGACCTCCATTCTGTTAGACGTTAATACCGCGGGAGGGGTGGTATCCATCCGTGCCCTATTCTCGCTTCCAAATCTACTCCGACCGCGCGCGCTTACCCTTCTGGGCGCCCATTATGGGCTAATATGGACCTTCGGACCAACCTACCCGACCCAACGACTTACGTTCTCTCTTTCTTTTCATCTCCTCCATTTCGCCTCCCCATTTCGCGGGGAATCTTCATCGCGTATACAACTATTCGAAATTTCTCGTTCCAATATATAAGAGTATTCGAGTATATATATATATATATATATATACGAGGGAAATTTATGTATACAATATCACAATATATGATTCTGATATATTTTCGAAAGAGAGTGTTTTTTTTTTACCCATCTCTCTTTCGATTAAACGTAATATAAAATCCATCTGGGTAGAAAAGGAGGCATCTGTGAAAAAGCGAGCGGTGGAAATTTCATTCACCGGAAAAATAAGCAAAAGGTAGTAGAGAGAGATAGAGAGAGGGAGGGAGGGTGGCTATCTCGATCAAATTCGAAAGCGGCGAAGTATATATATATATGTATATATAGGTAGACAGGTGTTGCAATATCACGTTGGTTCGATCGGTTCTCTCCTTTAAGAAGAGCGCAATTCACCGACAGCTCGGACATCCCCAAAAGGGGATTGCAAATACGGTGGCGGTGAAAGAGAGCGCCCTTTGCATTCGGGATGCAGCGGCAAGTTAAGACTAAAGTTTG